GGTTTTTCCCTGCTTTTTTTTTCACGGTGGTAGCATTAACGAGTTCTGGTGACAATTTTTCTTATCTTTATCATTTGATGTTAAAATCAACTTTAATGCAATTTCATCAGTCTTAATTGGGATATTTTCTGCACTGCCAAGTGATAAACCTTAAAAAAGATTTCCTCGTTATGTTTCACGGAGATCTTGCCTTGATTAATTCTGTCTAGGTAGCGGGAAGGATTCCGGAAAAATTTCTGGACGAATAGTTGATTCAGACATGCATGATGTTGGACGTTTCCTCAATCGGCTTCTAGGGCTTCCTCCTGAGATTCAGAACAAGTATGTGGATTGATGTCAAGTTTGGTGTGTTTGCTCCTTCAACATGCCTTTGTAGTATTGAATGCTAATACTATTGCAGGCTTTTTGAGTTATTTGTCTGCATCCTTGATCTTCTCATACAAAATGCACGTACGGAAGGACATTTGGACTCTGGGATCGTTGATATGAAAGCTAACTCCGTCGAACTGCAAGGAAATCCGAAGGTCATGCCACTACCTTCACTCTTATATATTTAAATTGTTGATATGTATTTAACATCCGCATTTGACAGACTGTCCATGTCGATCATATGTCTGGGGCATCCACGATGCTGTTTACTTTCACTTTGAATCGAGGAATGAAGTGGGAGGTATTATTTTGTTTTTGGGGATCCAAAATATTAGAATTGGTTGGACAAATATAAAAAGGTGACTTCTTTCATCATTTTGCAGTCTGCACTGTCTTTGCTTGAGGAGAAGCAGAAGGACTATCCTGGTTTGCCTAATAGTGGATTTTACGAGTCCAGACGGGAATGGTTGGGAAGACGGCATTTTATATTGGCATTTGAAGGGTATGGATTTTAGATATTATTTTGACATGTTACACTAAACACTACTTGTATTTACTTTGTTTTGGGCCTGTATGATTTAGATTTTGTGAAAATTGATTTTTTTGGAGAATGTGTGGTTAAAAATTAGGGAAATGTTATGGGCTCACATGCAAAATTATTTTATTGGGAGAATATGTGGTTGAAAATAAGTTTGAGGAAAAATCAATTTTAAAGAATCTATACCAAACAGGGCTTAATAATGAGCGTTGTCAAGTGTAATGATAAAATTGTCTGACAAACATAAGGTTAATTTATTGCTTTAAAGATGAAGCTATCACTCTACACCTGTGGCCTTGAGACTTGGACAGTATTGCATTTATCTCTCAGGTTCTGGATGGCGTATACACCTTCGGCTATTTTTGATTATATTATCAGACAAGTGTTGGTTCATGCTGCAGTAGCACGATAGATCTAGTACTGTATGTATGATTTCCATTTCCGATGATTGGATTTATGGGGAAATATTACTAAAACAAGCAATTCATTGTGCATGCAAGCTTTTTAAGCTATGAAAAGATAGGGTTTGTTTACGTGCCAGCATTTTGGTTCATTTGTTCATATTTAGATTTTTTTTTTTTTT